CCGGCTCGACGCGGCGGCCGCTTCCCCGCTCAGCTGCTCTTCGCCTTGAGACCAAGAGAAAAACTTCGGCTGGGAGAAGAGGCCTCTTCCACGGAGCCCACGCTTCAGGGTAAAAAAAAATTCCTCCTGGCTTCCTTTGTCCTTCCTAAGATCCGCAGCTGCACTTTGGGGGGTTATTATCGTCTTCCCCTGGCCAAAATTCACAATGAAATTTCGGCTGTTTTTTACATGCAGTAGGCACAGACCCAGGCCGCAATCCTTGCCCTCCCGACAACCTCGCGGACCTTTAAGTGTTAAGTTAGACTCTGCTCTGCACGTAGGCACCTCCCTAAGTGGAGCTCGGCTGGATGACAGGAGGACTGAGTAACATCCCGCTGAGCTGCTGCGTTTTCTTGGTGTTGATCCGGCGAGATGATGGTACAAAGAGCCACGGCCAGCCCGTGGGCGGGAGCAGTCCTGGTGCAGGCCGCTGTCCTCCGCGTCCTCTTTGCAAGGACGGGACGGCCAGCATGCAGGCCCTTCGATCATGTCCTGGCTGCAACGTGCAGCATTAGCCCAAATACAAGCAAGCCCTTCGCTGCTGCCATCACCAGGCAGGGCGTTATGAGCACTGCATGCGCGCGTGTTCGTGCTACAAACCGGCAAAGTTGGAGATGGGAGTTTGATCACGCTGCAGGAAGATGAAGGTGTCCCCAGCTCTTTCCTTAAACACACTGCAAGCCTGAGAGATGCGCACGTCTGCACCGTGTCCTTTCAGTTCAGTACGTGGAGGCCTGACTAGTGAAATCCTCTGCTGGCCAATGGGACAAGATGCCACCATCAGACCTTGCTGATAAACAATCTAGATGACAGAAATTTAAGTGTTTCTTTCCTGGAGTGACACTCTGATTACTAGAGTCAATCACTGGGAAACAGAAGGCAACCAAGAATTCTTCTTTCCAGATTTTTCTTCAGAATTTCTGCTTTGGAGAATTTTTGCTTTTGGCATCAGAAAGGAGGAAGTGGGTGCCTCTTTTGTATAGGCTGGGGATTATTTTTCAGGGAGAACAGACACATAGGCACCTAGGTTGATACTGGTCTTTCTGCAGCCAAAAGCACCTGAGCAGCCCCCGCTGTCGTTCTCACTAACAAACAGGCCTCCCAGCAAAGGCCAAGGCAGCGAAAGTCTCCTGTGCATGGAAACCCAGAAATGCAGCGGTTTTCCCATCCCAGCTGCCACCTGAATGTACCTGAGACAGGAATAACAATCTGAAGGAAATGGGCAGAGCGCCGACCCTTTCTCCCAGCCCCGAGGAATGCTGGCTTGCAAAGAAATGCCCTGGGTCCACAGTGGAGCTGAGCACCCCCCTCAGATAAAAGCAAATCCCTCTGAAAGGAGTTTCCCACTTCTAATTTTGGAAGTCTTCCACTCTGCCACGCTCGGAATACCAAACCGATGAGCTTGTCTGCTTTCTGCTTAGTAAACAGAGGAGTTAACCCCACCTTTCTGTTTACCTCGACACCATTGACTGGAGCAGTTTCGAAGTTCTTCTTATGTCTTCGCAAAACTAGCTCTGGAATCAGCACCAAGCCTTAGTTTTATTTATTGCGTGGACAGTGAAACGGAGACTTGCCTGACACATCACAGCCTGGCCCACGCGCCTTGTGGTCTTGTGGCTGGATTGATGCCACATCATGGCCCAGGCCCCGCCTTTCTCCTCTTTCTAAAGACCGTAAAAAGCTGCCGCTGGCACTTGCAGATTTTGCATTTGCTGCTCCACTGCTTCCTCTTTGCCTTTTATAATAAAAAGGAGAAAGTGCTTCATGTCTTGGCGCGAGCTCCTTCCCCCCTGGCTGGTGATCGCAGCAGGACTGACGGGCATTGTGCTCCTTTGTGTCTCCACTAAAGATGTGCCCACCACCCCTCTCTGGAGCAAGGTAAGGGCGTCTGTCTCAGGCAGGGAAGCCAAGCCCGGGTCAATGGGGCAATGGGGCAATAAGCAGAGGGGGAGATCCTTGTCCAACAGGGTTGCTTCTTAAGTAACAGTTTCCTTGAGCTTCTCCTTGACATTTAAACAAATAAAAGCCTGTTGGGCTTTGTTGCTTCTGACATTTATTGGGCTGCCGAAGGACCTGCTAGTCCAAATCAACAGGCTGAGAAGGGGACTAGCACAAGGTTGTGAGGATGGGGTAGTCTCCTTCAAAATGCTGTAGTTTGTCAAACAAAGCAAACCGGCCCTTTGGCTTCCAGGTGTTCAGCTGCTCAAGGAAAGCACAGGCTGAGTATTGTGCACTCTGTAGCAGAAACATCCCTGCAGGCTGAGTACAGAGCTTCCCCAGAGCACTAAGGGTCCAGTGGCTTAAATGGCTCTGAACTGCTTCTGCCCTTAAAAAACAATCAAAAACCCCAAACAAACAAAAACACTTTTATGCCTCCTCCTTTTCTGTCCCTTCCACTTTTGATTTTTACCTGAGAGCCAACCTGCTCTAGGCAACAGATTCAGACCTGCCCAGTGATCCAGGGGTTAATCCCTATCTGCTTATGCCTCTTGATGCAAAGCTGCTGAGGCGAGGTCAGGCGCATGCTGTGGTTGTCTTGAACAGAAGTAGGTTAACCTATGATTTTGGTGACGCTCCCCACACCCACACTCTGCTCAGAAACAGAACTGCATTAAAAAAATCCCTACTGTTCCATGTTCTGCCCACCCGAAATAGCAGCCAGCTCGACATCCTTCCATGATGCTAATGCATGGCATAAATGTGATCTATGGGATCTTCTCCTTTTGCTCCCAACCGCAGCCTCATTCTGTGAGGGAGAAGCAAAAAAAAAAAAAAAAAACCAAAAAAAAAAGTTAGTTCCTTCACCAAGATCATTCATTTCTTCCTCTTCTCTGCGAGCAATATGAGCTGTCACTTGCGTGGGAGGATGCCA